GATGAGAGTAATAGTTCTAGCTGGCACAGTAATCTTTGTAGCAATTGTAATCATCACGAAGTAACTTCTAACACACATTTACGTATATTGAATATTACCTCCATTTCAGATGGATTACCTTATTATATGTTATTTTTTATTAGGTAGTCCACTCAATACGTTCATTTTTAATGAGTTTGTTGCTATTTTCTTTCAAACTCACACAACAAACATCATTTTTCAGGAAGGCGGTAAAAACAATCACATTTTTACTGTTAACAGTAAAACTAACTTGGTTGACATTTTTATAACTATACTATATTAAAATGAAGAAATTGACAAGGTTTGCGAGATATAAAAATGCTGACAGAAACTAATCAATGCACAACAAAATATTTGCTTGACAGAAAGGAAAACCATGAGATCAGTCCAGAACTCCATTTTGTCTCCATTCCTGTTTTTATTGTATATCAACGAATTATTGGAAGAGATGAAGAATCCAATATATTGCTTTGCTGACGACAGCACACTTGTTGCCATTCCATTTGGATTCTAGGACATCGGCTGAGGGTGCACATCTTCATCGGCAGCAGAAGGTTGCATGTCTTGAGGATCTAGAAGTGATTTCAAATTGGGGTGAAACTAATCAGGTTCAATTCAATGCCACAAAAACACAGGCGTCGGTTTTCTCCAAAAAGATGAATGTCTCCGAACCGGATATAATAATGTCAGGACAGAGAATTCCGCTTTCCGCTTCGCTGGAATCACACAGGCTGCTTCTCAAAAGCTTGGAACACTGTTCCGAACCAAAAAACTGTACACACCTCAGCAACTTTTGATGCTTTATAAAGCTCAGATCAGACCATCTTTGGAGTATGTCTCCCATGTATGGAGCTCCGCTCCTAAGCATACCCTGAAACTGCTGGAATCCATCCAGAAAAAAAACATCAGCCTGATTGAGAGACGCGAGCATCACTTGCAACCTTGATAGTCTGGAACATCGAAGAAAGGTTGGGGATTTGTCTCTTTTTTATAAATACTTTCACGGAAAGTGTTCAAGTAATTTGGCGTATTTGATTCCACCAAGAGCGGTACATATCAGAAATACGCGACGGATTGTGGCTGCTCATTGTTTTGAGATTCAACTAAGTGCACCTCGAACTTCACTGTTAAGAACTCTTTAATTTGTAGAACTGCGTTTATGTGAAATAAACTTCCTGAGAACTTTTTCTCATCGTAGAGTAAACACAGAAAGCTTTTTTTATAAATAATAGATCGATTTTTAGTTCAGGTAACTGTTTGAATGACACCTTGAAAAAAAATGTTTTTGTACAGTGTTTTTTCTGATTTTGAATAACAACATTCGTAAACATTAAAGGTAATAAAGTCAACGATTGTCGCTTCGTTTTTGAAAAGTATAATAATCCAATCGTGGAAAATCATCAACCCTCAAGCTTGGACCTAGTTCTCTCGAATACTGATTTTTTTTCATAACTGAAAAACAAAGTATTTTCGAGGAATCAGAACTGCTACTACCTCTGAAATATCCTTCATTCAAATTGCTTTTTTGCTCCTTGAATTATCATAACTCTACATATATACGCGCTCCTAAAGTTCCATCCCCATATATTTTGATAATTCAAAATTCTTCAAACGACAGGTGAGAGAATGAATGTCTTATTCTCCTGACAAAACACATGCCAAGTTGAATTTAACGAAGCTTATTAATGAAAATAGACGAGGCAGTAGGAACGACAGGTTTGTCCGATTTATTGAGATAGGATATGATTTGACTGTTTTGTTGGGGCGGAACTATTGATTGATTTGCTGATAGCATTTGTTGACCACATAGCACAGTCATATAAGTCAAAATTTTAATAGACCTGATGATAACTAATGGAAAGAGAAATGAAAATTTCTATGTTTTTTACCACTTTCAATTGTAACTAACGTTACTGCAGTTTCGTCCTATATGGACATTCTGAAACTAATACAATAAATTAACAATGATTCATTACATTCAGGTACTTGATTGAGTACCTGAATTTACAGTTCACAATGCGGATGTGCCAATTTAAAAAACGGAGAGTAAATTAAATTTGATCATAATTAAATTTGATCATTTAACAGGTTGCACCCGCAATGTTTATGCTTGTAAATTTCCAAGGATTCTAAATAACGGAGTTTGCAACCCTTCCTTGCGTAGTGTAGAATTTGTGTATCGTTAAGATTCGGAAACTTGTGGTTGCATGCCAAGGAATGGTTTGAAAACGTCAAATAATTTTTTCCTAGTCTGAAGGACCTTTCATGTTCAACATACCGTTTTTGGAAATTTCGTCCGCATTGTCCCACACAAACCCTATTTCACTCCGGACACTCAAGCTTATAATCTCCAGATTTTTCCAACTGGTCGACCTTATCTTTGGCATTGAAAAGGAAATGAGATAAACTGGCATGTGGTCTGAATGCTACTTCCACATTGTTTTTTCTGAAGAAACCTGCGATTATTTTTGTTATTTTTCCAAAATATGTAACGGTTACATCCATCAATTCACTGATGATTACTAATATTAAGAAAGATTATTAGTAACATCAAACAACAAATCGAAAATATAGCGCAACTGTATTTTGCGATATCATTTGCTTCAATATTCTTTTCGAGATCAGGAAACTGAGTGTTGCACCATATAGATATGAAAATGTTGGGCTAAAAATTATATATACATTTTTTAGATAGCAGTTGCCAATTTTGTTTATGGAATGTCTCTAAAAACTCATAAGAAAGAATCGAATTCACACATCAACCATTGAAAGTAGAAAAAAATGTGTGACACCAGGTAACTTATTTTTTAAAAACATATTTTTTTCGTTAATAGAAATCAATAGAGTTAGTAAAAATTTGAAAACCCTGTTTATTCCCCAATAACGATGCTGTTGTGAAATTTTTCGTTCAGAAATGGTAGTTGTAGCACCAAACTAGGTTCTCATATGAATTTTTTGCACCTTATTAGGTGGAAAAGGTTTCAAACATACGTGGAGAACTGTACCTAATTCAATTTTGAAGAAACATTGGGCAACGTTACCATTACCATTTAATCAGGGCAAGTATAATAAAATAAACATTGACTTTTACATTTTCAATAGTTAAAGTTAATTTAAATCATGTCCAACTTGAAAATATGATAAATTGAAAAATGTTTTTGAAGAATTTAATTTTCAAAAAATTCATATTTTGTCGAAGTTCAGTACTTTCAATCTGATTTGCGTTCAAATTCCTACTAGTAGTTCGTCAACATTGTGGTTGATGCCTACCGATATTTCTATGAATTTCACTCGAAAAGTGCGGGCCAGGCATTTACCATCTGCAAAAAAAACACGGCTTCCGAAGACTTCTATCGAGATATACAAGGTGTTTTCTAACGACGGTTCGAAAATTCGTTAGATCGTTTTAAGAAAAAAGTTCTTATGAACATATATCCGGAGCTGCTTCGTTTTTGAAATACCGAACGTTGGAGTATAAAAAAACGGTATTTACAAAATATTAGTCACTTAATAATACAGGCAACCACATAGTATTATTGAACTACTTCCGAGTGGCTGGTGTAGGGTTGGCATTTACTGACAGAGGAGGACATTTGAAAAAAGTTATAATTGAAGAGAACAAAATCCGGACAAAAAATTATGAGGAGTTATCATAGGGAATATGTTTAGTTTTGAGATATAGAAGAAACTCATTCAAATAATTTTACGTTATGTGCAAAAATGGGACGAAAACAAAAATTGAAATCAATTTTTATGCAATTTCTTGAAAAAAGTTAAGATGACTCTTCAATAGGTAGAAGTACAAGTAAATGTGGATCAAAATGCAAATTTCACGTTGACATAAAATAAATAATAGATCGAGTATATAGTGACTGTTATTGACATTTACGAGTGTTCACCTCTCTGAAATTAAAAGAGGTTCTGAAATGAATCAACTACTGTAATTAAGTATATAGGAAAGAGAAAATAACTTTTGTCCAATTTCTACTGAGATTTTCATTTGTTACGACCGGTTTTGGTATATTAAACCATTTTCGAGTAAATTGCCGCTGTTTGTTTCTGTGTCAGTTTACTTGGGAATATAGAANTACTACATGCCAAACAGTACTAACGGTACAACATATACTTGTAGAATGTCCAAAATATGAAGAAACCAGGAGACAACATAATATAACTGGGGCAATGAAAGAAATTCTATGTGATGATAGACGAACGTTGAGTAACATGATGGCATTTTTGAAAGCCGCAAATATAATAGATGAAATTTGAAAAAAGCAAACAAGTCCGCGTTAAAAACCTAGCAGTTGATGCCGCAAAAAAACACTTTGTTTTTTAGTCCACTTCTCTCCAGATGAATGTGTAATCAACAGATAACTGAAAACTGCTGTGTATAAATTACAAACGTATGAAAATATCTCTAAATTTGTCATTCAGAAAACGTTCTTGAAATGTCCATGTTTCAGAGCAAAAGGAACCTAGCCACCAAGAGTTTCAGAATATTTCGAAATTTTGCAAGAAGTTCGATAATGTGTTAGGAAAATGTCGAGAACAGGCTTCTGTAATGTTTTTCTATAAAATTTTGGACTCATATATTGACTGCTCCGTATAATTGTTTCTTACAAATAATAAATATCTTTGTTCCTCTAATAACAACCAGAAAAGCCTGTCTTTTTCAATGCAACACACCAACTTATTTTTGAAAGCTGCAATACAGTTTATGTGCACCACTTTCAATGAAATATGCGACTATTGTGACATTTTTAATTGTATTCGAATTTTTTCGAAATTCATAATTAATTTTTTTGTTTTTTTTGGTTTTCTTGTTTTTTACATAAATATTTCCACAAATTGCTTTCTGTTAGTCAATAAACGCTCTTTATTATTATTCAAATTCATATTCACAGATGCTCTTCACATTAAGCTTTTTTGAGACTGGGGCCTATGGTAAATATCAATTATGGCACAATTTTTTTTTTCAGAATGTTCGCTGTTTCAAGGTGCGCTAGATGTCATGCTGGTATATCAGCCAATGAGTTGGTAATGCGAGCAAGAGATCTCGTCTATCATCTACACTGTTTTTCATGTGCCTCCTGTGGCATTTTGCTATCAAAAGGTGACCACTTTGGTATGCGGGAAGGATTAATATATTGCAGGTAATGATATGCTTTTGAATATCTCATTTGAATATAAATTCATTGTATCACTTCTCACATTACCATTATATTTATTTATTATTCTTCTTTGATAAAAACTTTTCAATTTAGTAAATTATTCAAAACGTTATTTTTTCACATTTTTCATCTGATAAATTTTTGTATAAACCCACTGTGCCCACATTCCAACCACCAAATAAACTATATAACATTTCTCAAGTTGAAAAAAAAAATACGATTTTGCTACGATCTCGTTTTAGGCCACATTATGAGATGTTAGACTTCTGTGATCACAGCGATCCCATGGACGTCATGTTTGGCAGTAGAGGATCTCCGGATTATTTCACACCGAGTACCCCCCCACAACACAACAAAGGACGACCACGGAAAAAGAGAAATGTTCCAGAAGAGGGGTCACCTTGTGGAGACTTACCTGTTTCAATGAGGATGGCACAAGCAACCTTGGGTAAGTGTTTATGCTATTCTTTTTGAAATTGTCCATATCTTTTTTTTTCGAAGAAAATAAAAAAAACAAAACATTTCAAACCAAGTTGCTTCACGATGTTGCGATTTTTATTATCCACAATCGTCTTCGGGTGATGACTATTAGACAATGGAAATCTGAACTAGTATAATTTTTTTTCTAGTTATATATCTAACTAGTAATATGTTGCTGTATCGCTGCTGTTCCAATGTTTTGACAGAACAGAACAAGCAGAACAGTGCTTTCAAAACATTGTTCTACAGCGCCATCTAGTAGCGAGTTACTGAAAAATTGATAGCCTAAAAACCCATAGACTTGATGAAAATTAATAACATTACCCAGGATGTGAATTATAGAATTTCCAAATGAATTTTATTCAAAACACATTTCGCTATACTGTTGCTTCATCAGTACTAGTACATCGAGCTATTCTGATGTAACTAATGAAGCTACCATATAGGGAAATGCGTTTTTATTAAATTTCATTGTAAAAAGTCTATAATTATTATCATGGATATTGCTAACTTAGATAATATATATTACCTGCCTGTCGACTACAAATTTTGAGGAACTTGTTTTGCTCGAGTGAGACAAAATGAGTTTTAGAATCCCACCACATACCCATTTAAGACAAGATCGATAGTTTATCATTGAAAAATTCAGTGATTTGAAAGGAAGTCTGAAATTTTTGTAAAGGTACTCGTATACTGAACAAATCCTTTAGCCAAAAAAACAGGAATAGTGGAAATCGTTTATTTGTTGAGTTGTTTGGAATCATTACAATTTATCATAACCCAGAGACGAGTGTACACGCAAAAATTATTCTCAATAATATTTCAAAGGGTTCAACAATTTGAAGCAGGTTTGAACATTTCAAACCAAGTTGCTTCACGATGTTACGATTTTTAGTATCCACAATCTTCTTCAGGTGATGACTATTAGACAATGGAAGTCTGAACTAGTATAATTTTTTTTTCTAGTTATATATCTAACTAGTACTATGTTGCTGTATCGCTGCTGTTCCAATGTTTTGACAGAACAGAACAAGCAGAAGAGTGCTTTCAAAACATTGTTCTACAGCGCCATCTAGTGGCGAGTTACTGAAAAATTGATAGCCTAAAAACCCATAGACTTGATGGAAATTAATAACATTACCCAGGATGTGAATTATAGAATTTCCAAATGAATTTTATTCAAAACACATTTCGCTATACTGTTGCTTCATCAGTACTAGTACATCGAGCTATTCTGATGTAACTGATGAAGCTACCATATAGGGAAATGCGTTTTTATTAAATTTCATTGTAAAAAGTCTATAATTATTATCATGGATATTGCTAACTTAGATAATATATATTACCTGCCTGTCGACTACAAATTTTGAGAAACTTGTTTTGCTCGAGTGAGACAAAATGAGTTTTAGAATCCCACCACATACCCATTTAAGACAAGATTCATAGTTTATCATTAAAAAAATTCAGTGTTTTGAAAGGAAGTGTGAAATTTGTGTAAAGGTACTCGTATACTGAACAAATCCTTTAGCCAAAAAAACAGGAATAGTGGAAATCGTTTATTTGTTGAGTTGTTTGGAATCATTACAATGTATCATAACCCAGAGACGAGTATACACGCAAAAATTATTCTCAATAATATTTCAAAGGGTTCAACAATGCACCAGTGGTGCATTCAAAGAATTTTTGACAGAAATTTTGTAGACAGAAATATATAAAGGATCAGGAGATATCAAACACATTTGGAAGGATTTTTGTTGGTCGCACCCGAATAGACTAGTGACATACAACGGTTTAGATTTAGATTTCAAGCTAACCTGTCGTTGATGTGCCGGATGTTTTGGATTTCAAGAATGGAAACGTACATCAAATTGTCAGATATTTGAGGGGGGCTTTATTCGAAGATATCATCTCGAACTCAATCCGAAAAAGTTGAGAAGAGAAGATAGAAAATAGTAACGAAATGAATAAACATTTTTAAGAAATAAAAATGGGAGAAAAGAAAGGGAGAGGTGATGAGGAAAGGGAAAGAACCAGGACAAGGCTGGGATTTCTCAACATGCATAACTTGGAGATCTCATACTTTGAAATTCTGAGTTGTTTGAAAACTTCAAAAAAGTTCAAGTAAGAGAACAGTCCTGAACAGTCCACAAATTTTGGAGTGACAATTTTACACTATTCCCAACTTTTTCCTGTTTTTTCGACTTGGAAACGTTGGGAAATTTCGGGCCGTGAAGATAGAAAAAATAATAGTAGAAATAAGCACAATATTATTTAAGTGTTGTTTCGTTTCATTTGTATTGAATATTCCTATACATGGTGGATATGGTGGAAGACCAAGGACCTTGGTCCAAAGTTGAGTAATTCATATTATTTTTGTTATAATTACCAAAATTTATTTTTGTTTGTGCATACCCTAACAGGCATAAGCAATCAGCCAATCTTTGGATAGCTAAGTAAGAAAATTGATATATTATAGTAGTAACTAATCCCTCGGCTTTCATTTTTTCGAAAGTTGAGAAATTTTGCTGGTGGGGTTGAAAAAATTTGGATTCCCTCCCTCCCTGGGTTTTCTTTTCGCTACGTCCCTGAGTGTCCTTCTACCATGAGTTCACATGAAAAAAATTAAATTTCACCTGCATGAAAAACTATCAAACACAGTTTTGTAATTTTGATCTATACGAAGTAACCTTCTTTGCCAATATGATAACATTTAAGAATCAATACATTCATATGTTGTCTTTAAAATAGTATATTAATACTTATAAATGCGAAAGCCACTCACTTTAGGCTCATTCATCTTTGTTTCTCCATACTGGTGAATCCTAGGAATCTGAAATTTGGTATGTAGGTGTTCTTAGATGCGTAGTGAGAAAGAATTTTCAAATATTCCAATTGAGGCTTTCTACTGGTGATGAAAGGGGAGCGTCTACATATGAAGATTGCCTTTTCATAAAATAAAGTTACCTTTTAATCTCTGTTTCTTCGTACTGCTGTATTGTCGGATGCTGAAATTTTCTATGTAGGTTCATGTTATGTTGTAGATGTGCAATACGAAAGAATTTTCAAAAATTTCACCTGGGGCGCGAGCTTCAGGGAAAAAGGCGCATTCATATAATAAAGTCACTTTTTCATCATTGTTTCTCCGCACCGCTGTATTTTCATAGGTCGTAATTTTGTATGAAGGTTTGTTATATGTGGAACATATGCAATAGTAAAGCATTTTTAAATATGCTTTAAAAAGTGTTCATTCCACATAAACGCAGTTCTCCAGATGGAACAGTTCTTGAAACGTGAAGTTCGAGGTGTACTGAGTTGAATCTCAAAACGATGAACAGTCACAGTCCGTCGCGTATTTCTGATATGTACCGCTCTCAGGGGAAACAAATGTGCCAGGTCACTTGTACACTTCCCGTGAAAGTATCAATAGAAGAGAGACAAATTTCCAACCTTTCTTCGATGTTCCAGGCTATCAAGGTTGCACGTAATGTTCGCGTCTCCAATTAGGCGGATGGCTCTTTTCTGGATGGAATCCAGCAATTTCAGGGTATGTTTGATGGCAGAGCTCCATACATGAGGAGAACAATACTCCAAAGAAGGCCTGATCTGACCTTCATAAAGCATCAAAAGTTGCGGAGATGTGTACAGTTTTCGGGTTCGGAACAGTGTTCCAAGCTTTTGGGAAGCAGCCTTCGCAATTCCAGCTACATGATTGTGCCGAGACATATTGGTATCCATTTCAACCCCCAACAAACTTATCGAAACAGAAAGTGGAATTGTCTGACCTGACATCATTATATCCGGTTGAGAGACATTTATCTTCTTGGAGAAAAACGATGCCTGGGTTTTTGTGGCATTGACCAGTAACCAGGGTCAATACCCTGGTTACTTTCAAAATGCTTCTATAATTTTCTTCTTCATTCGTTTAACTTTCGATGTTTTCGTATCCGAGAATTATAAATATTTCAAGTGAAAGCTATACCGACAAAAAATTTTATTGCTTTTTGTGCAAGACGTAACTATCCATTTTAAATTGTACAAGGGAATATAGTAGACACACAGGACAATTGAAATGAATGATATGAATACGGTCCATTATGTTTGTTGGCAAATAGAAATATGTTAACAATAGTGCTCAAATGAACGGTTCTTTGTCAAATATCCAACATACGAAAACAATGGATTTGAATAACACTCACATTTGGGGAGGGATTCTGAAATTTCAACTTGAAATGATTTTTATTTGTCCATTTTTATTGCGAAGGGTTGCCAGATAATTGAGTTCAGATTTCAATTTGAAACAATGCCTGATTTTTATTTGTTCGTTTCTGTTTTCGCTACCATTATTTCGTGTATCTTCCGATATCCACGATCAATAATAACTGAGATATTCATAAAAAAAGTTTTCGTCAAGCACACACTAATTGATTTAATGATTGATATGATTCCATTTTCTGAAAAAAAGATATACAGAGTGGTGAAACGAAAACGTAACACCTGCCGGCCATCCTTCAATGTTCAACAGTATGTTGCTCACCTGTTTTCACAAAATAAACCAATATTTTCATCAGACCCGGATTTGAAGAAAACTCAGCAGCATATATCCTCCACGGTCAGCAGATTTCCCCCCCCCTTCCTTGATTGANCCCGATATATATTATAATTTTACAGTTGGTTACCAATTCAGTTACAATAATATCCGAACTCATTGGATTTCAATGGCATTTACGTGTTGCATGTAATCATATGCCAATGGAACATTGGTATAGTAGAACTTCAATTATCTGGATTAATTGTGATCAACGCCAGTCCTATTAATTGAATATCCGGGGAATTGGATTTGACCAAAACACCTGAAGAAAGTTTATGTGACTGAAAAGAATCGATCGGAATCCAATGCGGTATTCAAAACATCATTTTATTATTCCTCGAATTTTATTATTTCTTACTACAATTTGAAAAATACAAAAA